CAAAATGTAACTTTTAACCTCAGTTTAAGATATCCCTGATTATTTAGTGTCTGTGTGTGTGTTGATATTCACCAGAGGTCAAACTGGAGCAAACACAAGAGAGGGGGAGGGAGCTTGAGCCAGATTGACAGCTCCACCCAGCCAATGACACGCCGTGACGACTGCACCCGCACAGCCAATCACGGGCCGAGTGGGCGGGTACATAGTCCAAATTTTACGCGGCGCGCGGCGGGCCGAAGCACCGAGAATGAATATCCCGGTCTCAACCGGTTTCAACCGGTCCGCGGTTGGAAGACATGAGCTTAGAGGAAGAGCACACTTGCACGCATTAAAACACCTACTGCTCTCTTAACAGTGTGTGCGAACAGGACCAGAAATAAAAACGAGAGGTTGTGAGCCGGTTGCCGCTTTAAGTGTGACTCCGTGAATCTGTGCTGTTAGCTTAGCTCACGTTAGCCCGCAGAATCAGTGACTTTTCCCATTTAGCGAGCTAAAGTTGCTACTAGCCTGGTGGGAGTCGGCTGTGATTACTGAAAGATAAAGAAAACATGGAAGAGGAACTATAGGCTGTGGTAAAACTGCAGGGGGGGGGAGAGAAAAAAAAGCTGTTTTTGTTTGTTGTTTTTAATAATACATCGATAAGTGTCCGACGTAACGGGGTTTGTTTTAAATTAGCTGGTGTCATCCAGAGCTAACGTTAGCTGTTTTCCGGAGCTGTTGTAAAACGTGTGCCATGAGATAAACACACCGCCGCTCGCTTTCACATCGATAATCTCCAGCTACCGAGTCACAACCAGCTCAACGCACACTTTGTTTTTCCACGAGCAGGGGACAGGACACACCAGGTGAGTTAAGCCCCGATTTAACTCACCCCATCGTGGGCTAACGTTAGCAGCCCGTCTGGTTCAAAAAAAAAAAAGTGCAGTGTTTTTTGTCTTTGTGGGGGGGGTTAACTAGCGGTTACACAGACTGAAGCAGAGTGCATTGCAGCCCGGGGGGGTTGGCTGTCTCCTCGGTGTGTTTTCTGCAGGTTTTAACGCAGTTGAGTTGCTGTGAATAGTCTGTGCTGCAGCTGCACGCACCCTGCCAGCCAGGTGGGGGCGTCGTTTCGTGTTTCAATACTTTATGATCGATTTCAATGTCATAATTGGACCACGAGGGGCTGACTGGAGATATCTTGACACGTTTTCTGGCTCGACCAGTTTCTCTGTACCTGCTACAAGACGTGAGAGTGAATCTAACTCACTCTGAATACAGTAAAGTAATCCTCCTGTCGTTTGTTGGTGTGGTTTTGTGGAGTAGAGATGCAGACAGGACACATGTTGTTATCTGTGTGATATGGGTCAGTAGTACTCCCACGGTCCTAGGTTTCTCCAACAGGGTTATTAATGAGGTAAATGTTAATGTCAGGTAGAGAGAGGGGTATGCAGAGACATTTTAAATCATCAAAGTCCTTTTGGGGAACGGAG